CACTGCTGGACCAGGGCACCTGGGACCTGGCCAAGAAGACCTTCATCCTGGAGCAGGGCACCACCCTCTGCCCGCTTTCCTCCTCCTAGCGGGAGTTCCCATTGAGTCAGTCCCATGTGCGTGATAATAGTGATGGGGAAAAGGAGGCTTTCGAAACTAGAGATTTGCGTGGGAACCTCCGCTCTACTGCTTATTATCAGTATAATTTCGATCAAATTCTTAACCTCCCTAAGTCGGCCGAGATTATGATGAAGCCTAAACTTTAAGGCTAACAAAAAATAATATTTTAATACAGTAATTTAAAGAATCAAAATTCATGCAAAAATTCATTGATGTACGAAATACCTAAGTGTTAAACACGTAATTGATCAGCAGCCAGGCCTTGAGAGACAGAAGGTGAGGATGTCCCAAAAGGATTGGGAAGGCGGGCGGGAGCACGTGTGGAGGAAGAGGAGGGACGGTGGAGAAGGGGTGAAAGAGAGCAGATCTGGATTCCTAGATCAGAGGATCAGAAGAGATCTTTCTTTGCTGTTCTTGGGATCACGCTTCGAGTTGTGCACCCAATTCTAGCGCACAAGTTCTTCCCTGGTCAGGAGGAGGCCTGCGGTGCTTAGGTTTTGCAGCCTCGAGCTCCTGGGGGATGTACAAGCATGCGAGTGGTCAAGGGAAGGAGCTGGAGGGTCGCAGCCCTGAGGGAACAGTCTGTGAGGAGGCTCTGGGGCTCCGCACCTGATCTCAGCGTTTAGGCTCGGTGGCGCCACACCTTGGGAACCCGAGAAGGCCCCAGGAGTGCAAGTTCCAGTAGCCTGGTGGTGGCGCGCACCCACAGTCTAAGGCCTCCTTGAGCCTGAGGAGTGCCCGGGGCTCTGGCCCCCGAAGACTTTTTCCCTTCACCATCTGAAGGCACAGGCCCTGGAGATGCGTGCCACCTGCCTTAGGCCCACACGACATCCCTTTCCTCGGTTCCACAGCCGGGCGCCAGAGTGAAGTCCTGGCCGCGTGTAAGCGCGCGTGCGAACACCCACCCACCCACCTATCCACCCATCCACACAGGGACAATCAGATGACACACTCTGGCCGCGCCTCTTGAAGAACTGATCTTTGCCTCGCCCTTAGAAACGGAATTGGGCGGGGTGCCTTGCTTCGCCCGTTCCTGGGGCCTCCGGGGTGGACGGGAGCTCCGGCGGACCGGCCCGTTCTTGCAGCCAAAGCTAGACGAGGAGCTTCTCGCAGACACTTGGATTCAAGAAAACTTAACTCCATCAGGATGTGCACTTGTAACTCCAGAGGAACTCCGCGGTTCCTCTGAGGAAAGGTTTGGACCACTCCATTCCTCGCACAATGAAATCCGAGGCCGCGTTGCGCGCTCCCTACGCGGCACAACGATGCGCGCTACTCTCGGCGCGCCCCCGGGACGTGTAGCAGCTGCTTTCAAGGGATTGCGGCCGCGCTCCCCACACTACTTCGGGTGGGTTTCCTGTTCGGTAAACCGAATTTAGGAATCCAAAGGCACCGAAGCCCATTTCTTTTGCTTTTAAGGCGTTTACCAAAAAGAGCGGAGGACAGAATGGGGACGGGATCTCGAGAGTAGAGCTGCCCGCGTGTTGAGAAACCGGTCTCCTCGGGTACCCGGCGGAGCTCTCGGTCTGGCACCGGGTCCTGCCGCTCCGGCACAGCTCTCGTCTCCTATACCGGTGGAGGGTTCTTACCGCTGTCAGCGGAGGGTTCTGCGTTAGCTTCAACATTCATTTAAGCGAGAAGCCATTGGCCGAAATCGTGAAACCGTTTCTTCCTGCACAGTTCTGAAGTCGACCAACTTTTGAGTTTCAGAAGTTACAGAGGAAAATTTGAAGCGGCGCTGTGTATAAGGAGACATCTTCCAGTCCTCCATATAATCAAACTCCGTATAACCAATTTCAGGCATATAACCTCAAATTTTAATTCCTGAGTTCCAAAGTTTAGCAAGTTGTAAATAATCGCCCATTATCACCATGAGACCCCAATCCATACCCTCCAAAACTGTTTGCACAGCTACCTGCATGTGAGCATGCGAAAGAAACATTTCTGAGATCGCAAAATTGCAGTTCAAAAATTAAATACAATAAAATTCTGTATTTATAGTTCATTTATACTGGGGTAACTGTTCAGGCGCTTTACGAACTTTATCTAGTTTAACCTACAGCAATATTCTAGGTAGGAATAAATTAATTTAGATGATGAAACTAAGGTTTTAAGAAATTGAGGTAACTTATACCGAGTCTCAGGGAGGGCTAAAGCGGGTTAAAGTCAAGATTCAAAGTCTTCTCCAAGTGGAATGGACTATCCGGACCCCTCTCTCCCCAGTCTCACCCCTTCCCCCACTCCCGCCTGACGTCAGCCTAAGAAGGACCTTCTGGAAAGTGTTAATGTGATTACTTAGTTCCAACCCCCTCGGTGGCTTTACCTATTAACCCGCGCTAACACGAAGGGACCTCAGAACCGGGCGATCTTCTCTTCGGGTGGGCTTTTAATCACTCTATGATGGTACCTCCCTGCCAAGTACCGGTTCCCGGCTCTTACAGCACAGTATTGATTTGCAAAGGCAATAAATCTAAGAGCAGGGACAGTGCGCCCCAGATAATTATGTTGCAGTATACATTTTATTGCTGCGGTTTCAACACCAACAAGATACATTGCTTTTTAGGGATCCCCAAAAGGCTCACCTCTCGAGCCCCGAGTTTGTTTAAAGTGGACTTTTCAGTTTCTCTGATTTGGCGCCTGCCTCCCAGCACTAGCTTAGCTAGTTTAGCTTCCTATTTTGTCTTTAGAAGGATGAACAGTCCAAGTTCACTGCCCACCAAAGACCCAGAACCGGACAGAGTGCGTGGGCAATTGGAAAAGTGGAAACTGACTGGGGGCAAAGCATTTCCCCCCTTGCTCTGCCAAATTTTCTAAAACTGTCCCTGTCATGAAATTATTCAAATTCCAGCCTCAACCACTAAGATAATTAAGAAAAGATATGATGCTTCTTCTGTGTAGAAATGCATTTTTTAAAAATCTAGGTATAATTTCACAATAAGTTTTTGAAAACTAAAACCAGCAAATAAGATTTTCGATGCTCAATTGAAGCGTGAAATTCTAGACACTATGCCATCGCTCATCCCAACAAACAACGCCCCCCCCCCCAAGACACCCGCTCTTGACAGAAATCTTCCTTCCTGGCCAAACCCTAAGCATTTGAGACAGGACAGGAACAAGCTTGTGTGCCTTAAATTTAAACAAGGGAAATGTCACTGTTGCATAGATTGAAGTGGACTGTGTTTGCCTGCTGGGGGGAAGATTTGTTAATCCAAGGGTCTGGGTTGTCCAAAAGCAGCAAAGAACCGGAGACTCAAGAATAGAAACGAACCCTCAGGCACATGAAGTGGTGCTGCCTCTATCTTACTAAGGTTTAAGCTGAAAGCATTCTCAACCAGCGTTACTTTACTATGGTCTCCGGTGTGAAGAGACCAGGCACAGCGGCAGGGCTGGGGTGTGATCAAGATCTCTGCCTGGAGTGCAGGTCCTGTGCTTCTAGCCGGTTGGGGCGATTTTAGGGGAGATGCATAACGCTGCTAGCCAGACTCGGTTTCTCACTGTCAAAGCAAATGGACATGGGCTAGACAGTATAAATCGTTTCCAGCACAAAAATCTATAGTTTTACGAATTTACCCCAAATGTACACAAACGCTCTGTGTACACAGAGGTATTTCAAAATTATTCCTTAGTCACTGTTATGCAGTGTGTTGTTAGAAACTATTGACATATGGTGACAAGACAGTCTTAACTCACAAGTTCCCCACCTGTCATCATGTTACTTACATGGCTGATTTCAACTTTTGAGTTTCAGCTTTTTCCCCTCATAAGTTTGTTTCAAGGGGTGGAGAATGTCTGTGCCATGGAGAGAGGAAAATGTGGGGGTGAGAAAAAGGGGGCTGTTTTCCTTCTTCTCTTTCTTTTTAAAAAAGACCTACCAAGAGGCTCCTAATCGCCAGACCGACTGGAAAGGGGAGCAAATATTTACATGTACAGCTTGAGTGTGTGTGTCAGCCTGAGTTTACGCGGCTCCAAGTGAAGCGGATTACCCCGCGAATTTGGAGAATTTGAGTTATTCAAGCTGAGCAAGGCCAACAAGACGACCCCCACAAGGCCGTGGGAAGTCCGAGTTTGTGAAGACTGAAGGCTCGGCGTCCGCCAAGCGCGGGCGCGGCGGGGCTCGCACTCTCCCACTGCGCGTCGCGTGGTCCCCGCAGGGCGCCGCGCCACCAGCACGTCGATCGCCCCTCACCTTCCCTTCCGTCAAGGCCCGATTTTCCAGTCCCTTTTGGGAATAGGAACCCCGAACGAGAGGCGCACCAGTGTGCAGAAGCAGCCGTGGTTCTGAGAGCATCCTTGGCCAAATGCTTACAGCCCACCCTTAGCGCATCGTTCTCAAGGTTGCTTCTCTCCAGACCCATTGTCTAGCAGTCCGATTCTGAAGCCCATCGGGTTCTGGGATCCAGCCCTTCACGCTGCCGGGCAAATGGGATCTATCCCTTAGGCGCCGACTCTACGGCGCCAGTTTGTCCCATTTCTAGCACTTTCCAACTTTCTTTTGGAACTTTGATTACCAGTAAGAAAAAGAATGGGAGAATCAAGAACTCCCCGAGGCTTCTTCTGGTCTGGATTCCCGCAGTGGGCCACTCCTAGGATCCCAGGTCTTAAGACGAGACAAAAATGCCCCCTCCCGACAGCGAGCACCTCCCTCCCACTCCGGGATTGCGAGACCTGAAGGGCTGCATCCGCGGTCGCTGCACTAGCCTGGTGGTGGCACCCCATTCCCCGAACGGATGCCAGGTTCCACCAGGCTGTGAGTGAGGCCACACGGACACCGCGCCCCGGGCGCACCCTCCCCACCCGGCCCGCAGCCCCGCAGCCCCGCCCCCGGTGGCGGAATCAGGAAGCGGTGACGTGTGGCAGCGCTGACTGGCTGCGGGCCGCCGGGATCGCCGCTGCCAGCAAATTAAGGCGCAGGGCTTCGAGCGCCCGGGCGCAGTGTCCTCCGCGCCCCGCCGCGCTCGCACGGCCACGCTCAGACTCCCAAGCATCCGCCCCCTTTCAGCGACTCTGAGCCGCTCTGACTGTCCCCAGAGTGCGGAGGGAGGAAAGACGTGGAGCGGGTGCTGCAGGACCTCTGGGCTTAGCGCAGCTCATGCTAGTCTTCAGCTTCCGGCGGCGCAGCCTGTGCCCTGCGGAGCGTCCCGGTACTTGCACACTCGGTTGAGCCCGCAGTTGGTACTCTCTGGCTAGTTCGAAGTCTCAGCGGCTAAAGGCTCTTGCGGTGGGGGAAAGGAGACACCGGTGTGGAGCTCTTGGGAGGTTGGGGCTGACTCATCTAGAGTCCCTGGCTCCCCTCTGGCTGCACTTGGAAACTTTGCGCTGTGTTTCGGTCTTTGTCTCTTTTGGGGAAGCTGGACAGCAGTTCGGCAGGCCCGGTCCCTGGCCAGGACCGCACACTAGGGGCCATGGAGTTCACGGCATCGCCCAAGCCCCAGCTTTCTTCCAGGGCCAACGCCTTCTCCATCGCCGCGCTGATGTCGAGCGGCGGCTCCAAAGAGAAGGAAGCAACGGAGAACACTATCAAACCACTGGGTAAGTCGGGCTGCTAGACTGTCCGGAATGGGCAGGCTTTGGGGGGGGGGGGGCGGCACATTTGTTTGTCCTTCTGTCCCCTAGCTGCACGACGCTTTTGAGGGTGGCCACCTTTTCCGGCTCGCGCGGCAGCTCTGACCACAGACTTATATTGCGGGTGGGAAATTTTTTTTTTTTTTCCCCTCTTAGGCCCAGATTCTTTGGGGACTTCACAGTGTTGTTATATGCAACCAGTTTCATACCTCATACGTCGCTTTCCTTACCGATTTGTCTAGAATGCTTTTGTCAAATCGAACATCCGGGGTGTGTGTGTGTGTGTGTGTGTGTGTGTGTGAGTGTAACACTTTTGGGATAAAAGATTTAGGGATGAATAATGAATAAAAGCCCCTTTTTAAGACTCGACAGAATTTATGATGCATCTAACACCTGCTTGTGCATTTGCAACCAAGGAGACTGTCACTTCACAAGATGCTAGTTTAATTTTGTTTTTTCCTGACTTGAATAGATTACACAAAGTCAGCTCCTTAAGACCCCTGTCAGGTGCTGTAGAATAAGCCAGATCTACCGGAATGAACCATTTTCTTTAGAGAAGCTCCAGATATATCAGTAAGACATCATTTCATAGCTGCTGTCACTTTCAGTGGAGGTTGGCAAAAACATTAGCCAGTAACCATTTCCCAAATTCCTCAACTTTTAGCTATACTGTTTATTTAACAACCTTTACCATTTATAGAAGACACTATGCTCAGAGCAAAGGGAGAAAAGTGACTATACTACCCTTAGCATGAGTGAATTGTGTGAGAAAGAAACTGCTGGAGAGGTGTTTCAAGTCCCTTCACAATTGGGAGAAAGAAGTGTTCTCATCATCACCTTTTGGGTCCCTGGGTAATAATTAGTTCACATTCTGATCATCTGGTAGTCCTAAAATAGTGAAAAGCATCAAGTAAACTTAGGGTAATTTTTTAAAACTTCTTAACTTCAATTTTTTTCTTCTTCTCCCTGTCCTTTCTCAACATTTTAACATCTCACACCTTGAAACACAATAATAATATGGAAGATGAAATGTTAGAGAAGAAAAATAAGGGGCCTCAGCAGAGAGAAGAGAGAGCTAGAATCCCTGCAGAAACTTAGAACCAAGGCAAAGGAAACAGGAAGATCTGCAGAAAACATGTCAAAAAGTCTCTCCTCCGTGGTTTTCACTCTCTTTCTCTGGTTCTTCCTATCTAACCTCCCGTGTAAATCTAAACCTGCCAAAGAAATGGAAATAACCAATCAGATAAACTCCAACTGTTTAGAAAAAAATTCACCACTAATTTAAAAGTTAACTTTGTGGCCCTTCCCAACGGTATCGGTATCCACTCCTATTTAGGAGGCCTCCGAGCTCTTTATAAATAAATGTCCGCACTACTGTTTGGCAGCTAACAAGGAAAGAGAATTTCAGGTTAAAATTTCTGACAGGTGTGCAGTAGACTGGGAAACATGCTAGCTTCAGCTCTACTGTCATTTCAACGCTGCTTCCTTCTCTACTTTCCTGAGGGGGAAAATACCTTCCTCTGAATTCTAAACTATAAAACCATTCACAGCTCAAGGTACCCCCACCTCATTCCAGTCTGTAAAGTGAGCATCCTTCCTCCCCTGGGGCTTTTGAGACAGACTCTGAAAGAACCTGAAGGCATCTTAGTCCCTTTCTAGGGCCAGTTCAACCGAGCACTATTATTGACTATAAGCCGAGGACTCCAGCACGTGAAATACCTGTTAAGAGAGAATGCAACACTAGCGAGATGCTAAAGAAAGTATAGGGTGGGAGTCAGAGGTGTCTCATGATTGCTTATTTAAACACATTAGGTCTATTCAAAAGAATCACCTCAACAACTAAGTCATTAAATTTTTTTAAATCGAGATATAACTGACATAAAACATTGTGTTAGAACATTTCTGTATCATTTTCTTCTTCCATTTCCCCACCCTGACACACCGGTTAGTTTGGAGCTTGGAATTTGCCTTTTTCAATTGTCAGAAAAATTTTAAGGCTACTTATTAATTCCCTATAAAGATGTTATGTGAATGTGTTTCTGAAAATATTAGTAGAAAATATAATTTTGTGATCGCATGGTTCTCTTTGAATTTGAAAACAAGGATATGATAATTAATTTGATTATTCTTATTTAAAAATTTTTTCATGAGTTGGATTATTATTGTAAGAGAAGGTTAAAATTCTCTACCTCCTGCTTGCCTGCCCCGAGTCAAAGAGAAATAAAACATTGTGTGTGTGTGTGTGTGTGTGTGTGTGTGTACTTAGAACTTATTTCAATTCCTTGAGGGCACTTAGAACAGAGTTGTTTTGGAGTTCAGTTTCACATTGTCGATTCAAGTAGTTTCTTTTTTAAGGGACGCAAGATAATTGGGCCAATTACAAAACTCCCCCTGTATTCCATCAAAGTGACTGGTGTAGTCCCAGGCCCTTATCAGCTGTGGAGGAGAATGTTTGGTTCATAGGCAGTGGTATTCTAGCCTGATGGTTGATGGAAAACTATTCTTCCTACTTTAACACTCTGCTAGTCTGGGTTTGGGGTTCTTTTCCTCACAGAACATTTTTTGAGAGAGAGAAAATAAACACATTGTCCCTCAAGTAATTGTTTCAAGCTAAGTCCAAAAAATTGGAGAGCGTACTGCTGTGATTTAACAAGCAATATGTTAGTCTTTCATAAGATCTCAGACTGATAGGGAAAATGTTCCAATCTAACATCTGAAAGTCTGGGAAACTGAGAACCGGGCAAAGAAGTGAAGTGACTTAATTTTTTTTTTTTTTAAAAACCACATCCCCAACACCACAGCACACCACACCCCCTTTTCATTTTCTCTTATGGGGAGAGGGCTCCAGGAGGGAAGGGAGGTTCCTCTTAAAGTGAGGAAGGAGCTGATATTTTCGCTGCTTTGATCTCCGTGGAAAAAGTGTCTCCTCTTTGTCAGAGAGGAAGAACTGGTACCAGGGCCCACAAACTGAGAAGAATGCGGAGGGATAACAACAGGAATATTTGTTTTTAATTCTTTATGATCATTGTCGTCCCCAATATCCACTCCTCACATTTTTTCTTCTCCAAAGTGGGTTTCAAGTAATGGTAACAAGCCATGGTTCTAGAACTCACTCATTTGGTTCAGTAAGCAAGCAAGCAGGAGCCATGCCACTCCACAGGACTCTCAGGCTTGGTTTATGTAGTGAATGGTTTTCACTGCCCTCCGGGAGATCCTGAGCATAACTTTTCCAAAGTCAAATCTCGGTACCTATTTTAGTTGTGCTGCTGTCCTTCTTATATCTTTGATTGACAGAATGAGCTGTCATTCTCAATTCTTTTTGCCTGCAGAACAATTTGTTGAGAAGTCTTCCTGCGCTCAGCCCCTGGGAGAGCTGACCAGCCTAGATGCTCACGGGGAGTTTGGTGGCAGCGGTGCGGGCAGCAGCAGCCCCTCCTCCTCCTCTCTGTGCACCGAGCCACTGATCCCCACCACCCCCATCATCCCCAGCGAGGAAATGGCCAAAATTGCCTGCAGCCTGGAGACCAAGGAGCTCTGGGACAAATTCCATGAGCTAGGCACGGAGATGATCATCACCAAGTCTGGCAGGTAGCAGGAGGGCCTTGTCAGCTGAGGAGTGGGGAGGAGGGAACGGTGCCCTGAGTGGCATAGGGAGTCTCCAGGAACTGGGTGAAACTGCTAGTACTGAGCTTGAAGAGGAAGCTTTGCTCCAGGAGAGTTTCCTTCCACTGACTTGCTTTTGGAAAGATCTACTGAGACAGATGTCCAGGCATTTGCTTTCTTGGGATCTGGCTATAGGAAGCCCTACCCCCACCCTAAGGGCAAGAGACTGGGCTCTCTTGCTCCCTGCAGCCTGTTGTCTTTTGGGTGCTAAGTTTGCATATGGAGGGAAGCGGGAACTCGACTTGTGCCTGCTGTGGTGCAGGGCAGGCTGCTCCGGTGCAAGGCGGGCTGCTTCCTGTTGTGAGGGAGGCAGGTGGCTTCCTTTTTATCACCTTATCTTCCTTTTATTTGCAGAAGCTCCCATTAAAAACTAAAATTAAAATCAGGGAGATAGAATGAAATTTGAAATGACCACACTCCTGGTAGGAAGGAGCTCTGGTGCGGGGCCCCTAGACACCGAAGTCCGGGCTGACTCAGGGAAGGCAGGAAGGCAGCTCCTGGGACTGGGGCTAAGGCTCTAGGGATCGGTGGCCCCTTGGCGTCTGAATGCTCCAGCTCTCAGGTCTCTGGGACGCACCCTCTCAGAGTCTCCTGAAAAGAAAATCAACCTGAGAACTCCGCTCTGGCTTTCTACTAAGACGGGGTGAGTTTTCTCCCTGCAACACAAGGAGGTTATAGGACTCTGTCTGCTCTGGAGACATCGGTTCAGAGCCTAATGGGCTTGATGATATAGCACAGGATTTCCCCTAATTGCAGACCTTTGGGTATTAATGAGGACTCCTGTAGAGATGACACTTAAGATTATCTAGGCTTGGGAGAAGGTCAGTCTCTGTATTCACATCTCTGTGGCTTTACGGGAAACAAAGAGTTTGGGGGCTGGGTAGAGAGGGAAGGGACCTCTCTTCCTCTCTAATTCGGGCGATTCTCTTTGTCTCACTGTGTCAGGAGGATGTTTCCTACCATCCGTGTGTCCTTTTCCGGTGTGGATTCTGAGGCCAAGTACATAGTCCTGATGGACATCGTCCCTGTGGACAACAAGAGGTACCGCTATGCCTACCATCGGTCCTCCTGGCTGGTGGCTGGCAAAGCGGACCCTCCACTGCCAGCCAGGTTTGTGTCTCCAGATTCTTAGCCAAGCAAAATGTCTCCTGCCCTGGCTGTTTGAATTTTCAGCAGGTCTGTTTCTAAAGCCGTGAGTTCCGGTAAGAAAGCGTTCCAAGCCCAGGCACTCCAGGATTAACTATACAAAATATGGATTAGTCTCTGAGAAAGGCAGAGTTTGTACTCAGAACACTGCCTTTAATATTATCTTTCTTCATAATTCATTTCAAAGCTTTTCTTAAATTTCAATTGGAATATTTGTTAGAAATCTGGACCCATTTCATATGACACCCCTAATTTCTATTTGGCTAACACCCAACAGAATAAACCTACTGATGAAGTGACTGCCCTAAAATTCTTTTTAAAAGTGTGCATTTTAGTGTATTTGTAGCTTGTAGTAGATATTTGTTATAGTGTGGTTATAACTTCACATAGTAAACATCATTTTGGTAAATGTGGGTTTTTTTTTTTTGACTAGTAAAAGGCTCAGAGATTTTTAAGTATGAACAACAAACTCTCCCCCCCCCTCCATAATTAGTGGATAAATGTAATTCAACATCAGGTTAATATACTTTCACTGAAAAATTATTCAATTAATATGTTAGGTAATGACCCAAACAAAACATGCCCATTTTTGTCCTAGTCATTGGTAATGTTTTTCCAGGAGAACCCTGTTTAACAAATCACATGCAAACCTTTATAGCTGCTGCTTTGCCCAAGTGAGCATTCTGGAGGGAAGAAAACGGCATTTTTACTTTATGTTACTATGACTAGCTGAAGAACAGAAATCTAACAGGCACTGTTTAATACAAACAGTGAATCTTTACATTTTACACTACATTTACATAGCTGATTATACATTTAGGGCTCTAAAACCAAAACTTACAGCTTTAAAGTTGTTTTATGACTATGTAATTTTTATAATTGATAGGCAGTTCATATCAAGGCTAAGAATTTATTTAAATGTACGGGTTAAGGAACTTTGATGTTATGGTTCAAAGTATGGTTCTTTTTAAGTATATAGTTTGGAGTCTTAAGGCACAGAATCAACACAGATAATTTACACATACAGTTCAAATGGAATATTAAGCTTACTTAGTAGTCGATCACATTATTAAGCTTGCAGTCTGTTAAGTACACTAGAGACAAGATTAAAAGGAGCCTCTCTGAGTTTTCCATTTCCACAAGAGACTAGGAAGGATCCCAGCCTTTCCAAATCGATATATTAAATAACAATCAGGACTAAAAAAAAATTTTAATGACACTCATTTTGAGTGACTGTAAATGAAAAATTTACAATAGATATTTAAATATAATTAGTGTTCTCTACTATTTACTATTAACTAGCCAGTTCACATTAATCTAGAGCTTCTTTCCAATATTTACAATTTTTTTTAAAGGGGGAAGAGAGAAAGAAAAGAGACAGAGAGCGGAGTATTTTAGCAGATTCCTAACCATTTTTACAAGCAGCCTCCCCCACCCCTTTTCTTTTTTTTTTCCTCTAAGTCCTTTCTCTAAGAAGTTAATCACTCTTATTTAGCATACATTTTCCTCCTATCTAAAGGTATGGGGAACTGGTTTAGGCCAGTTGGAAATATGACATGCCTTGTTTATGTTACTAATCTGTTCTGGCTGGAAAAAGAAAGCATGTACCAATACACTATCTTAACTGAAGCATGTTTAAGCTATTGCTGGAATTTTAAGTCCCACGAGACTTGAGAGAAGCGGGGCTTCCTGTAGGCTTTTTCATTCATCCTAGTTCAGTTTATTTATATTGATATTAGATTAAAATGTTTGTGCCTTATAGGATAGAAATATTCTAGATTATACAAGCAACTATTTTTTATTGCTATTAAAAGACACTGCTATAATTTCTAGCTACATAAGGGAAAGGTAAAGAATTTGGGAGGTGATCATTTTTGCACTTATGGTAGAAATTCCTTGCAATTCTAGCTCTTTGAAAGATTTTATTTTAGGCTAAAATTCATCAGTCACTTGTTTCTAATCAGAAGAAATGATGCTTGACAGTATCATTTGATCATAGTAATGGGCAAGACATTATACATAACCTAAATAATGTTTTTTTTTTCATATAGGACATTTCCTTTCTTTAAAAAAGTTGATATTTAAATTATTATTTATTAATCTTATTATATGTGGTAAATTGATACATAAAGAGGGACCATCTCATCAACTTTTAGGACTAAATATTTTTACTCCTCTTTGGAGGAGTGGGTAGGATGTGGTTGTTGTTGCTTAGGCCCTCAGTCCTGTCTGAATCTTTGTGACCCTATGGACTGCAGCACGCCAGGCTTCCCTGACCTTCGTCATCTTCCAGAGCTTGCTCAAACTCAGTCTATTCAGTCAGCGGTGCCATCCAACCATCTCGTCCTCTGTCGTCTCCTTCTCCTCCTACCTTCCATTTTTCCCAGCATCAGTGTCTTTTCTAATCAGGATGTGGTGCTTATTAGTAAAACAACTGTGTCTATAGAGTAACAGCCTTGGAAGGGTGATACTTGAAAAGCAATTTAATATTATGGTGTGTCATTGAAGAATACTTCAACTGAAAGGCAATTCTGAGCACTCCTTTAAAAAATTATTCAGGCAGACAAATACGTAAAACCTTTAAAGTTCTTATATGGGTTTGGTAAGAGTCTTTGGTACTATTAGCCTGTTTTTTGCTTAGATTCTGGTGGGCTTTGTGAGTTGCAGCCTGTGATTCCAATTCTTCTATTGTTAGTCCTCTGTGTGACAAACCAGGGCATAGACTTCTTATTCTTTACATGAATATTGTTAGGAAAGGCTTTTTTAAAAAACTTTTTTCCTTTCCTTTGTTCCCTCCATAATATGTATGTTTAATGGTAGTTACAAAGATTCTCTACAAAATATAAATATAAATAACCTGTGGCATGGATAAAGGAATTTATCCCGTTAAATCAAGGACATTTCCTTCTCCTGTTATTAGTTCTGTGATCTCCCATGACTTCAGAAAAGCTTCTGTTGAGTGGATATTAGGATTGTGATTTACAAAGGGTTGTACTTAGTTTAAAGCTTTGCAGGTAAAGCAAATGACTTGCATTTAACTGTCAGTAGGTAAAAGCTAGCCAAAAACATAGCAGCTGATCAATAAATGACAAATGCCTGATAAGTACATTTTTCCCCCATCAAAGCTTTTTTTTGGGAGGGGGGAGTGCTTAGTCTACTTACAGATAAATACACTAAATAATTTGAAGCTTACCCAGCTTGTTTTCACTCTCATTAGCGAGCACTTAACAAGGTAATGATGAAAGAAATAATATTAAGGTACCAGGAGAAGCAAATAGACTATGTGAGCTATTAAAAGTTCCCTGAGTCATTGTATAAAAATTACTGTCATGCTTATAAAGAAAACAAACTTTAAACTGAGCCACCTTCGAGTTTAAATGGATAGATTCTCTAGAATTGTTTCCTCTTAAATTATTTGTCTTCACTGCTTTTTAGCAATGTTTATACTAGGAGCTCATTATGCAATTAGTTTAACCTAGACCTTCTTTTGAAAATACCTACAATTGAATTTTATATTTGACAGAAGCAGACCAGTAGTTGATTAATTAGATGAAAAAAAAAATCACCTTTAAAAAAACAACTTGCTCAGCAAATAATAGAAAATGTATTAAGTATTATCCCTTGAAAATTAATAATAGAAAATGTATTAAGTATTACCCCTTTAAAATCATTGGTACACAAAGAAACACATCTGTATGTTTTAGCATTATTTTGGCATTGCTGTATTATTAAATTTGAGATTAAATGAGGCAAATAAAAATTCACCATTTATATGAGATTTTTGTGTTCCTTTAGAATCAGGGTATTTTAAAACCCACAGAGAGATTTTTTTTAAATGTCTCAATAAAATTCTGTCATAATTTTCTTAGGTTGTATGTACATCCAGACTCTCCTTTTACTGGCGAGCAGCTACTCAAACAGATGGTGTCTTTTGAAAAGGTGAAACTCACAAACAATGAACTGGATCAGCATGGCCATGTAAGTACAGTACTTGGACTACATGGATTCCCTGGGGTAGAATGGAGAAGCCACGTGAAACTCTCTCTCTTGAAGTCTCTTCCTTTTCTCCCTTTTCCCCTCCAACCTTCCCGCTCTGAGTCATCCTGTGAGAACATTCTTGTGTTCTTTGGGGAACCCTTATACATACAGAGATGCTGTATGCCATTACTATGTAAGAGGGTCAGGGACCTTTGGCACCATGGAATCCCACTTCTGCAAATGCTTTACCACCTGTGCCAACTAAACACAGGGCATGTGCATTTTGGAGGTTACTATAGCCCATTCTTGGATTAAATATTTAATTTCTATCAGTGATAGATAACACAGCATAAAGGGAATGGGGCTGAGACCTCCTGTGGAGGTTTCCCAAAGTGTGTTCTGCAGAATACATTCTTGTGAGATACAATGGGACCAAAGGGTTTTGTGTACAAATAAATTTGGAAAAGTGTTGTTCGCTTATTACATGTCTCCTCTATAGTGAATCTTATGAATATTTAGAACACAGAGAAGTCTTGCTGTTAAAAACAAAATGATTTGATTTTATATATCAATAAGGAATTCATCAAAATGTGGAGAAAAGAGAAACTGGAATTCTGAGCTCCTATCAACTTTTAACAGAACAGCCATTAACAAAGGCTTTTACACATGCTAAGACTGCTTTTTAAGGAACTATCTGTGATGTTATTTCATGCTCTTAAGTAAAGATTTACATTTTAAAAAGTGTTTTAGAATTTATGCTAAGGAAACTTCAGACAGACATGCATGCTTCTTTGTGATGAGGAGAATACTGTTTCTTTTTTTTTTTCTTCCTTTGCCCTGTATGCCAGAAAGCAAGTTGGTATTTTCATAATTTCTCTCCTTGGCTTAGATATTCTCATATAATTATTCTCTCTCTTATCCCTTTTACTAAGGCTCTTGTTACTTAAGATTTTAATTTTTATTGGATCTATGCAATTTAGTAGAAGAGTTTCAAAACTTAAAAAAAAATGGTTACATATACATATATAATAAAATAGAGAGCTCTAGACATGGTTCTAAAAATTGGATTGACCCTAAAACCAAATAAATCACTTCAGGCACTGCCACCATTCATATGCCCACAAGAGACTTTGTTTTTTCTGACCAAGTCAGAGTAACTAGGTTAACCTACAACTCAGTTGTCCAGAATTGGTGTGTTTTCCTTTCGGCATCAGTTTCATGAAGAGGAATAGCACTAAGCTATACTTCAGGAGCTCTGGGTTCTAGTCTGATTATGCCAAGATCAGATCGTGACAAATTGTTTGCCTAAATCTTAGATGATTGCTAATATCCATTTTGGCTTTAAAATTTTATTATTTAATATAACTCTTTTTCACTAGAAACAGTATGTTCTGAAAGCTACAAGGAAATCTTTTAGATCTTGTGTTGTTTAGACAAGTTCTCTGAATCAGCCCTGAAGAAGCCCCCCTTTACAGATACATTTTTGGTTTTTATAATAGGAAAATTTCTTATTTCCAGGAATTTATTTCTCCAATGAAGTAAAGTCTACATTTCTATCAGTATTTCTTAGATCCATGAAAGCCTGAGCAGAGGTTCAAGAAGCCCTGGGGTCTGAGATTCAGTCTCAGGTCTGAGTCTGTCCGATACCCTTTCCTAAAGGAAATTAACCTAGGGCTGGTATAAATAAGGAAGAGGGGACCTTATTTAAAACTTAGGGCTTTTTCCAGTGTGTATGTATGTGTGTGCGTATGTGATTTGAAAACTCTTATCTTCTTGGTAGAACATATAGTGAATGCTCAGGTTTTTCTTATACCAGTTTCAGGAGGCAAATGTTTGGCTTTGTCACTTCAAGTTTATTCCAGTTTTAGGACTGAGCACAGATTCTTGAATTCCTTGGAATAAATGCATTATACAAAGAGATAACTTTTTAAAGTTTATTTTGATTCATTTGAAGCTCTTATTTGCTTCAGTAATTCCTGTTCAGATTTGGGATCATAAAAAGATGGCGTGTTCAAAATTCTATGCCAGTTAATGCCCTGTAACTTTGTTGGTGTATATCTCAGTGCAGAAATAGATTGATTCTATATCAGTTATCTCACAGTGACTAGTATTTAACTCTCCTAAAGTCAACCAGCATTAACATTCACCCACACCCAAGTTAGCCAAGGAAACAAGAGAGCAACAATACTGCATGCTGTTGACCCTGGTCCTGCCACAGCATGTATTAAACACCTCCTCTGAGAACCATGCTCTCTGCTAGGCTCCTGAGGTTAAGGGCATACAATGTGAGCCCTGTTATCCCAAGAAAAACATACTCAATTTTGTATACTTAGGTAGCTGTCTGGGTGTGGCATTGGGGAAGATATAGAAAATCTTTAATATCTGAAAGTAAATTTTGTTGTTCAAATTTCATAATGGCAATTGTATTTTATTTAAATGATACATGAAAAATAGTGCCTTTGTAAACAAGGGTATGTTTCTGATTTCTAAGTATTGGGCAACTTTTATTAGCTATAGAATGGAAGACAGCTGTCATTATCATTCCTATTTAGTTTGTAACTGGAAGATGGAATCAATGAAACTATCAGACATGATGATGATGATGATAATACAGTTACGTTTACTGAGCACTTCGTATTTGCTATGTGATTTACAAGAGTTACATCATCTGATTCTCACCACAACTCCTGTGAGTTTAAAACTTAAATGCTTTTGCATTTAAGAAAATGGGGTGAGAAAGGTACGATCACTTGACCCAAGATTAAAAGAGCGAGAAAGTATCGGATTCAGTATTCCAACCAAAGTCTCTCTCACACCTCACTGCCTTTTAAGTTTTATTTCCCTACCATCCGCCACCCACCCCAACCCCCAAACCCCCACTGTCCCAAGTAACAATCTGCTTCCTCAAATATGTAATTTCTTACTTTAGAAAATTTAGAGACATACTGCCTCTAACCAGACTAAAAAACAAAAACTTTTTTTTTTTTCAAAATAAACCTATCCTCCAGATGACTTTTTCTGCTATAATTTTAGAAAGAACAGTTGAAACAACCTGTGTTATTTGCAGTTGTTTTGGTAAAGTGTGATTCACAATGATGACTCTGCAGTATTATGTACAAACTACTTGCCTGAAGAATGAAAAGGGTCGATTTTAATCTTAAAACTGCATTTGAAACTGTAGATTTTATGATTCTTTCCTTGCCTCATTGTAATTGGGCCTGTTTAGCAACATAAAAACCTACATTTCAGTACTGTGCTTGCCATTCTTTGTTGTAGATAATTTTGAACTCAATGCATAAGTACCAGCCACGGGTGCACATCATTAAGAAGAAAGACCACACAGCCTCATTACTCAATCTGAAGTCTGAAGAATTCAGAACATTCATCTTTCCAGAAACAGTTTTTACAGCAGTCACTGCCTACCAGAATCAACTGGTGAGTGTACCCTTCACAATTTTTTTTGCCAAAAAAGATGAGGTTTTAGGAGATGCTTTTATCTTTTTGGAGAGAAGGGCTATCCCAGTACTCAAAACGGAAGTTTACTTTGAAGAAAGCTATGGAGACTCAGCCCCGGGACCTCCAAGTATGTTGAGTGACTGCAGCTCAGTGTTATAAAGGTCTGTGTTTCCTAGAACCGTTACTTTCCCAGTCAAGCTGTTTACGGCCCATTCTCCTGCCAAAACCTATCCCAAACTGACTTCTTACCAGCTTCCTTTACCTCCTCTTGGTAGGGTCTCATGATGTACATAACCATATACTCATGAATTCATAAAATTTTAAAGTTCAGTTTTTCTGCTAAATTAGCACACACAGTCTAGCCAACTATCCAAATTATTGATTTGTTAGATATTTTGTGAGACTTACTCAGCTGAAATTCAGGCTAATTATAGTAGAATGATTTTAAATACCTCTTTAGATAATAAACTGTATTATGTAAACATCAAGAAATCTAATTTATAATATTGAGTTTTATATTTTCTACTCTTGTAAATCATATTTAAATTTTATGCATTTCTAAGGCTTAGACTAAGTTGGTAAATAATTATTAAAGTGTTGCTAAGGACTGGGTGCTATTAAGATTCTTCCCCATTTATTCTTTCATGGTCAGCATAAACTTGAAGGCTTTCTATATGACTTTGAGTAGACTTCAGTTCATCACTGTGGCTGCCATTTTCTTGGCCTGTAAACTGGGACTAAGAACTGGCCCATCTTAGGGAATTCCTGTAAAGCTCAAATGAGATGCTATACATAAACATGCCTTTGGAAACTCTAAGGCACTCTATCAAAAAGGCATGTTGTGACTATTAGACTGTCTCTGGAATGTCCAAAAAGGATTTGTCACCATATGGATTTTTCAAAATTAGTGGCATTTTAAAAAATGAACTAATGTATAAATAATGAAATCAATGTACAAATGTTATCATACTATTTATCTTTAAGTGAAAGCAAAGTACTATAACTTTTTTATTATCCCTAAAATAACACAAGAGTGCCAACTTTCAGAGAATGTCCAAGTTAAAAATTTGGGTATAGACTGAAGCCCACAGAGGCCTAAAACACTAATCTTACTTTTCTTAGAATCTAGAACACTGACATCAACAATCCCGTTTTCAATTTATTTGAGAACACATGTATATATATGTCATAGGTTCACAAAAGATTCCTGAAACATGCATTCAACTTATACTAACTGAATTAGTAGCTTTTATACTATAAACATTGAAAAAAGAAAGTATTAGTCACTCAGTTGTGTCCGACTCTTTGCGACCCTTGGACTGCAACCTGCCAGGCTCCTCTGTACATAGGATTTTCCAGGCAAAGATACTGGAGTGGGTTGCCATTTCCTTCTTCAGGGGATCTTCCCAACCCAGGGATCGAACCCACATCTCCTGCACTGCAGGCACATTCTTTACCTACTGGGCTACCAGGGAAAGACTCATATAACATTGTGTGTGTGTGTGTGTGTGTGTGTGTGTGTGTGTGTGTGTGTTGCTCAGTTGTGTCCAACTCTTTGCAGCTGCATAGACTGTAGCCCGCCAGGCTCCTCTGTCCATGGAATTATTCAGGCAAGAATATTGGAGTGGGTTGCCATTTCCTTCTCCAGGGGATCTTCCCAACCCAAGGATCGAACCCAGGATTCTTGCATTGCTGGTGGATGCTTTACCATCTGAGCTATTAGGGAAATACAAGAGACCCTGTTGATGTTTGAGAATGAAAGAAAAATTTGTCATGTGAAAACTTCATTGCTTTTATGAAAATCATCTGTGAAAATTATGGACAGAACAAAATTAAGGGAATTTTAAGTATAACATCTGAGATTTGGTCTAATTGACAAAAGCGCAATCCTGAATAAATATTGGCAGGACCTCTCATATCACATAAAATGGAACAGGAGGCTATTATCTACATGATTATAATAATAGCTAATATTTGGGTACTTACCATGTGCAAAACACCATTTAAAGTACATTGTCTTATTTAATCCTCACAATAATATTTTGCGGTAGGAACAACAGTATTTTTATGTTGCATTTTATAGCCAAAAGAATTGAGGCATGGAGTTAAATAACTTATCCAATGAGACCTTGCTGCTTCTATCATAGATTTAAATCCAGGTGGTTAGGTGTTAAATGTCAGTGTTCTTAACCTCTAAGCTTTAGGTACTTATGTCCCCAAAAAAGCAGAACCTCACCTCCTCTCAGCTTGTGACCCTGATGGATTCAAGACATCCTATTTTAAAGGGTTTTAGTTCTTTATGTTAATTTCTTTTCTTCTCAGCATGTGCTCACTGCTTACCTGCTCTGTGCAGGGAGCTCCCCACACTGACAGTAATCAGTGTGACAAGATGGTCATCATTCTAAATTGACAGAATATCCTCTGGCATTAGCTGTTTCTAATAGGAGCTGTATGCTTTAGTGACATTATCTCATTGAATTCTTTTGTTCCCACTCAACATTTATCTGGAAGATTTTCAAAATCCAAAAGTTAAACAAATAGTAAAATGAAGCACATGTACTCTCTACCCAGATTCAACAATTAAATTTTTCCAGTTTTTTACCTTCCCTGCTCCATTTCTCAACCTCTGTTGAGGTATATACTTTCCCCCTTCTCTCAATCATTTGAAACTAAGTTGTATGCATCATGATACTTTACTTGTAAGTACTTCTACAAGCCCAGACTGACAATAAGATTATTTTGTAACCACAATATCTTTAACACATTTAAAACTGAGTTTGTATTAAAAATTTCAGGATGGACCAACAAATGTCTTTACAGCCCCTACCCCCTTCCCCTAAACTAGTATTCACCAAAGGTTCATGGTTTGGATGTTACTTTTAACTTAGAAAAAAAAAATCTCTATATTTTTAATCAATATCTCACTTAATTCTGATACTAATCCCCTGAATAAGGCCCTATGAGCTCCATTTTGTGGATGAAGAAACTGAGGTTCAGAATGGTTAATACACTACCCAAAGGTCACAAATCTGGTAAGTGGGATAATTCCTTTTGGGTGTTAATTCCTACTTTTTGAAAGCATCATGCTAGATTGCAGGATTAAAAAAGTGACCACTGACAGTGTAAAGGCTGGGAAACTGAATTTGAAAATACTTAGTTAAAATAGGTTAAGATTCTAATAACCACATATCCCAATACTAGTTACTCCTCTTGAGAAATGTTTATTTCTAGTTAAGATTATAAGTGGGCTCAAAAATCCACCTACCAGTGCCTATCTAGCTTTCACTGCATCATTAAGTGTAATGATTAATATGATTGGTATATCATTTCATTGCTAAATAACCCACAATAAAAATGACTAAATTCAGAACTGATTTTCTCAATAGATCCTGCCAGGTCTGAGTTTATTTCTATGCTTCTACCTTGAAAGCCATAATCCCTAGCACAATGCCGCGTGCGTGCACACACATACGTGTGTGTGTGTGTGTGTGTGTGTGTGTGTGTGTGTGTGTACATCCCATCCCCCCTACACTGGCATTGTGCTAGGGGTTATGGCTTTAAAGGTAGAAGCATAGAAATAAACACTGCTATATCATGCTTGTCTACTGATTTGCCTATAATAAACATAAAATAAATATATAGGAATTAAACAAATTAAATATGTACTAAGTATAATATAAAATAAGTTTTTCATGGCTAAAAAACATAAAATAAAAGATTTAAAATTTCACACTTAAGATCATATTTATATTTCCTAAACTTTGGATAGACATTACTTTCATATATATTAACAGCAAAATCAAAGTGTTCAATAGAATTTGTGAAAAAGCTTCTCATTTATTGTGTCTGGTAGTTTTATTTGTGAGAAATGAAAAAGGCACTTTTTTTCCTATTTTTTTCCTCTGGTTTTTGTGAGGAAATGATTGCATTTCTTTACATTATTAGTTTAAAGCTAAATACATTACACTCTCAACAAACTATTTTATAATTTAAGATTTAAAGGTCATACATTGTTTTTGAGCAGGCAAGCCATTGCTTTAGAGTTGAAGTGTAGGTCAGGTTTCATTTTTAAATGCCTTTGGCCAGATCTTTTCCTGATAATTGGAGAAATGGTCTCTGAGGGCCAATTTCACCTTGTGGTTGGGAACCTCAGCTCTACTCAGAGTCCAGTGATATCACATGGAATAATAACTACTGGAAAAAGTCCCCTTCTGTTTGGTGCAGCTGGCAGTGTAAAATTCTGCCCTCTATTTATGCATACACTTATCTATAGATAAAGGAGATGTTGAATAAGTGAATTTTGTGGTTAGGAAATGCATTATGATCCATATTTTCAAGACGATACATGAAAAAAAAAAGGGGGGGGGTATATTTTTGCTGGAATGGGCTTCCCTGGTGGCTCAAATGGTAAAGTATCTATCTGCAATGCAGGAGGCCCAGTTCGATCCTTGGGTCGGGAAGATCCCTGGAGAAGGGAACGGCAACCCACTCCAGTATTCTTTTTTTGTTTGTTTGTTTTACACTCCAGTATTCTTGCCTGGAGAACTCTATGGACAGAGGAGCCTGGTGGGTTACAGTCCATGGGGTCACAAAAAGTCAGATACACTGAGTGACTGACTCTTTCACTTTTCACTTTCAGTCTGTGATTTGCATGTGTGTAGATACACTTGAAACTGCAGGATTTCTTAAGCACATACTACTGTCCTTACTTGCTAATTGTTTTTCCTCACAAAATGAAAAACACTGCATTTTTAAAATTTGTTGTTGACTCATAAAGACATTTCAGTAGTTTCACATGGGGTTCTATACATATTATGTTCAGTAATTGACTATTTTGGGATCCTTCTTTTAGTTTTACCTTTGACATGGGTGACATTGTCCAATGGTGTTAAAAGCTGCAGGTGTTTTATATTACGAAAATGATGTCCAACTGAAATCACTGTATATAACGCAGATCCTTTCTTTCATCAGTTCTAACTTTCTCAGTTCTCCCAAATTTCACAAAGGGATGTAAAACTATATCTGCAAAACTGAATTTCTGTTAGCTACTGGTTTTTATTTAAATATCTATGGGATAAAATCTGTGCCTAAACTTTTTAAAATGTATGATTAACTAGAATGTTAAAACTTTGCTATTTAAAAATTTTTTCTGAAAATAGAAAACAAAATGCTTTTTATATAAACTTAAAAAGAATTTCGCTTAGTCTATAACTGGTAAACATGAAATCATATTTCTGACTGCTTGTTTTTGAAGCAAAGTTCAACAAACATTTCTGAGGAACTTACTGTTGGCACCCTGATAGACTGAGTCTAGCGACACCACAGTGAGCTCATTAAGAAGGTTAACCCACAGTTCCTGTGTTGTTAATCAGTACTTCATAAAGCCTGTTCAAGACTGTAGTGATCAGTTCAGGGGCCCCAAACAATTGTAGTAAGAGATCTTTTCAGCTTTTATCCTCTAACTTTCAAAAGTAATTATTAGATAACAGGAATTAGGTAACACGGCCCATAGAGAAAGTAAATACTGGGTTAATGTCCTGAGCTCCTTTTCTAACTAGCACACTAAAGTTAAATCAGTGCTGAACCAATTGGTAAATCTAGCTGTATATACTATTCTTGAAGTTACAGTTTGAAATTATATCAAACTATAAAGTAGAAAAGTTACCATTGGTACTCTTGGGGATGATGAAAGAAATACTATAAAGATACTAGAAAGAGAAAAATTCTAATAAATGAAAGAAAGTTCCAAAGAAATCTGAAAACCTGTGTTGAATTTTATTTACTTCCTCATTCAAAGTTATGGTGGTAATACTAGATACTGTGACACATTAGCTGACAACACACACTGAAAGTATTTACTCTCTACAGTAACTCCACAATCATCACATTCTAAGCTAATAGTCTTTACCTTTTGGAAATACAAATAACAAATAGAATTCTCAAAATCCTTTTCAGGGACAAAGTGGATAGAAAGTCTTTAGTTATTATATGGATAATATTTTATATTCTTTTAGTTTATGAAGACTCAAAGAAAGCTTGATATGGTTCACATTTTTAAAAATTGTATTTCATTTTTTTATTGCTGCACTGCACGGCTTGCAGGATCTTAGTTCCCTGACCACGGACTGAACCCAGGGCCTGGCAGTGAAAGCACTGAATCCTACCCACTGGACTGCCAGGGAATTCCTGAGATGGTTCACATTTTAGAGGGATGGTTGCAAAAGGACTTTGTTCAAAATTGTTTCTGCATCAGATATTATTTGCTTCTGTCTTCAGAAAATTTTATCCACTGGCAAATCCATTCACTTTTTAACCTTATAAATGAGCTTGTAGAAACTAAACTTGAAAGGAGCCTTAACTTTATTCATCTACCTCACAGTTTCAGTTTGAAAATTTCTGGGATTGGTTCACCCTTAATGTCAGTAACACTGCAGTGAATGTTCTGCCATCCTTTTTAGTAACACTTAAATGACTTCCAGTTCTGGTCAGCTGTGTATCCCTCTGCCTGCTCCGTGGAATTTTAGGGACTGCATGTTCTCAGTTTTGTTGATGAATTATTGTGAAAGTGTTTTCATGAACTATAAAGCAATTTAGAAATCTGAAATATTTCATTTATAATTATTCAGTAGAAAGAGATGAAAAAAATCCTGTCTTTGAGGATTCAAAAATCTTGTTGATAATTTATAATCCTAAAATATATTGATTGTTTGGACTTTATAAGATGTTTATAATTTATTTCAAACAAAATATTTTGCCTTTGCCCTGAAAATTGACCTTCAGTACTAAATCCTAGTCTGAAAAGAATGGTTAAAATAGACTTTACCTTTTAGAAATCCATGCCCTTAATTAAAGAGGTGACTGAGTGTGAGAGAGGTTCTCTACAAACTATTGATGGCCATACACTAGGGACAACCTCAGCAGTTCCTGTATATTTCTTTCTATGCACACCTAAAGTCCTGTTGTTGTCCATTAAGAACAGGTTTCTTACTTATCTAAGTTATTTTCTTCACTGTTTACCATTTTCCATTAACTAAGCTAAAAAGGAAATTAGCAATTTTATTTTTGGCTGCTCTAAAGTAAATGTCTAAAAATAAGGCTAAAAATAAGAATTTCTGAGGTACTGCCAAGTGTCCTTAAAAATAAATTTAAATAAATAAAATATGCTAGAAAATCAAAGTAAATAACTTGTATAAGAAAAAAACTAATACCAAAGAATCAATCTTACAACTTGCCAATATTAATGATAGAGAAGTAGCATCTCTCTGGCCAGGAGAGTGTGGGAAGTTCTATTCTGAGTGAGGTATATAGCTTTTTGTACTTTGCACATTGGTTAGCACATACTGAGAAAACTTTAGAAAGAAAAACAATGATTTTCTTTTGTAATGAATAAAGCAGTTCTTTAGGTGTTAATGGTTTAAAGTGAACAGTAGATACATTCTGATCAAAGGAAAAGTATTGGCAAAACAATATTTCAAACTGTTGTTAATTGTTCTGTTTTTAATTGTGTTTATTATTTACTTTGAAAGAGGAAGGCATGCCTCCCTCAGCCTCTAACTTTTTTTCAGGTTAAGACTATTGCGTGTGTGTTTCTCCCTCTCTCCAAAGATGAATGTGGGCTCTCATTTGGACACAAATGAGCTATGACTCTCTTTAAAGGTGTCTGTGGTTCTAACTAGTTGTGTCCTACATTCTCCTCCATGCCTTTTAGCAAGTCAAGTATCTTTTAATTAGTGTTTCCTTTATTTATTTTTTTGTACCTAATATATTTTCCCTGAAACATGAAGTGCATATGTTTTAATGAATCTTTCTACATTAATATTGTGTACTGTGGGAATTATGGCTAGCACAGCATAGACACTTAGTACTTCAGACTATGATTCTTATTAGGAAATAAGACTATTTTTTTCAAATACTTTTTTCCAAATAAGCGTAGAGTCTGTAAGTAACATTCTATGGGAGGGTAACAGGAGACCCATTAATTTGATTCTAATTTAGTCAGATGGAGAGGGAATGGGGTAAATTTATATGCTGAAAACTTTATATCATGTATTTATATCATGTTTTTCAGTACAGTGTTGAACATGAAGCTATTATTGAGGTATCTATTACGGTATATATAGGTGCCCATGGTATTAACAAATGAGGCTGTCAAGTCAGCATGAGGCAACATTCTTGTTTTCATTCCCGTTACCCACCCATGCTGGCGGGTATTGTCCAGTTCTGAACAGTTTCCTCATTGCCTAGTCCACCCTAACCTTTCACTACTCTTAAATACTTCTCACATCAGGCACACTGTTCATAACAGGCCCGCATTTCTAACTGTCTCTGTTTATTGACATCCAGCCTGTTTTAGGAACAGATACTCTGTCCTCAGATACTTCCTCTTCCTTGACGCCTTCTCTGACCAATTCACCCAAATTTGTGAATTTCTTTAGCAATTTCAAGCTTTGTCACAATACTCAGTGATATTAAGATATTCTTAGACATTCTTGGGGTGCTATGATGGAAAATGAACAAACTTTTTATTTCTGATTTTGTTTCCTTGACCACAAACATGACACTGTTTTGTGTACTCATCTTCCCTTTCCAGATAACCAAGCTGAAAATAGATAGTAACCCTTTTGCCAAAGGATTCCGGGACTCCTCCAGGCTCACGGACATTGAGAGGTAATGAGAATTTTCTGTTTACTTTTTTGCCCAGATAAGATAAAGAAAAGCACTAGCTTCTAAGAGCACACTCCTTGCAACACCAAAGAGACATAATTTTACTGTATATAGTCTCCAATACTCTGTATAATCTCCTGTTCTCTGCCTGACCTTCATTTCCGGTTATAAACCCTACAGATATGCAACTGCTGAAGTTCTGACAGCCGCTGCAGCTGGATCTATTCTATGCTCCATTTCTGAGTGAAGTGGTTTCTTTGAACAGGACATTAATTCAACTGCAAAAAATAGGGCTTCTTTGTTATCAAAAACTCAGTCCTCTTGATGATATTAAGCTTCATGTCTTAAGTGGCAATCCACAGAGAAAATAGAATCTTAATAGCTGTTGCTTTCTGAAGTGGATATATTTGCTAACATAAAGACTATAAAGGTAGTTTGGAATTTTGAAGCAAAAAGAGGCAGTTTAAATCAAGGTGCATATTTTATCTACAGTGTAGAATGCGTGTGTTTAATAGGAAAGCTATTGGATAACAGGACCTTTAAGGCAAGTGACAATCATGTGCCTGTAATTGACCCTAATTTTTAATTAAAATGGTTCACAAAGTGTGAGACTGTTTATGTGATGAGTAATGACTATATTGAGATGCAGAGTTACCCAATATGAATGTCAAAAATGTTTTTTTCAAAGAAAAGATTTTTTTTCAACCTAACTGATTATTTGTACCCCTAAGCGTACTATGCAACTTTCTGTACTTACTGTTTAATTTTTGGTGAACACACTTAAATTCTACTGTCTTTGCAAATTTAAATTATAAAACAGCCCCCATTTTATACATTAAATCATCAGATTTTATTCATCCTCTGTATTTAATCTCTTATATGTCCTGGAATCTTTATAGACAGGTGGAGTACCCTAACTACCAGCCCTCTGGTTTATTTTATCTCCAGATCTTTATGTGATTTCCCCACCAACTGCTACATGGTTCTGACACACTTCGTCACCTACCACATGGTCACATGTCCTGACCTCAGCACTTCTCTTTCCTGTTCTGGCAACTCAAATTAAAGGATTATTATAAATTTTAGCAACATCTGATCCTTCAGTCATCCTTCCCAATGCCAGAGCATAAGGGTGTGGTTTTGATTTTGCAGGGAAAGATATAGAAGCTCAGTGGGGAGGCAAAGAATCCAGTAGGAGAGACTGAAAGTTGGGCAGGCATTTGAGTAGAAAAGATTAATTAGTTGAAGAGCCTGACAAGTGATTGGGGGTACTGAGATCAGGGAAAGGAACTTGAGCTTGTGGTTGAAAATCCCTTGCAAAATGGATGGCAAGAAGGTAACTTCAATTAGGTAGAACATAGGCATGCAAATAGGCCATAAGATCCAAATCAGTGAGAAACTGGTATCAGCAGCATGGGTGACAGAGGAGTCCACATTTACAAAGACATTTTGTGACCCCATGGACTGTAGCCTACCAGGCTCCTCTCTCCATGGGATTTTCCAGACAAGAGTACTGGAGTGGGTTGCCATTTCCTTCTCCAGGGGAATCTTCCCAACCCAGGGATCAAACCTGGGTCTCCCACACTGTCGGCAGATACTTTACCATCTGAACTACCAGGAGGTGTTTTAAAAAGGCTACTTCTATTTAGCTGTGATCTTTCTCATCTCCTGTTTCTAGAGTGCCAAAGGCACTGATTCACACTGTATTTATGCAAGTGGGATTATAATAAGTGAATTTTTTCTCTTTTCTAATCAGGTATCAGGCAAAAATGAAGACAGTGGTTCAGTGGGGCAGTAGAGATGTGTTTTTATAGTGTGCCTCATATCTTCTGTTTCAGGTCAGGGGTTGAGCATGGTATATGAAGACAAAGCCATGGGTTAGAATCTGTGCTCTGCCTTTTCCTGGCTGAGTGATCCTAGAGAAGTTACCTAAGTTAAGTAGATCACTTAAGTAAGATCTTAAGTAACTAAATTAAGTAAGATCACTTCTAAGTGATCCTCAGAAGTTACCCTGAGTCTGTTTCCTCATGTATAAAATGGAGAACATAACGCTGCTCACTTTATTATAAGGACCATGTAAGATGACATTTATGAAAGCACTTTCAAAATCTGAAAATGTAAAATAATTATATTTTACTAGATGAGCATCTGGCAGAGGTGTGGGTCAGCAGTGGCCTGCTGCAGGGTTGGGGGCATTGCCTGTAGCAGTGCCTGCATGGGAACTTTTGAAGGAGGTCACCATTATCTTCATTCAGTTCAGTTCGGTTGCTCAGTCATGTCCAACTCTTTGCAACCCCATGAATCGCAGCACGCCAGGCCTCCCTGTCCATCACCAACTCCCAGAGCTTATTCAAACTCATGTCCATTGAGTCGGTGATGCCATCCAGCCATCTCATCCTCTGTCGTCCCCTTCTCCTCCTGCCCCCAATCCCTCCCACCATCAGGGTCTTTTCCAATGAGTTATCTTTTTGCATGAGGTGGCCAAAGTATTAGAGTTTCAGCTTCAACATCAGTCCTTCCAATGAACACCCAGGACTGATCTCCTTTAGGATGGACTGGTTGGATCTCCTTGCAGTCCAAGGGACTCTCAAGAGTCTTCTCCAACACCACAGTTCAAAAGCATCAATT